AGTCCATATTGTTACTTTTGTTTGCTGTCATGGGTTAAAAGATGTGAATTAATGTTTCCAACTAGAAATATTTCTGTTTGTCCTATATTTCCTGTCATTTCTGCCTATTGATTTTGATGCTGTTATTTGTAGTATAGATAGTCACAGTTATTCAGTCTTCACTATGGATATACTTTATAATTGTAAATTGCCCTTATGATTTCTTTTTAAAAATGTTTTACATTTGTCTGTGTCCTTTTATTTCTGGTGGTTGAGTTTTGCTTTGTGATCCATTGGAAAGTTTTCTCTTCTTTTAATTGGTTGGATTTAGGCTCTTTGCATTTATTGATTGGAAAGATATAGTTGGTCTTAAAAACCATGACAGAACCAATATATTTTTTCTCCCTTAATTTAAATCATGATGTGGATTGTGTTTTCTTTGCTTCATTTTGATTGTGTTTTCACTTACTTAATTGTGACAGTTTCTATTTTTATTTTGGTTCTTTCTGTGGATACCATTATACCTATAATTTCACAGTAAACTTAACCCTCTCTTTCTTTACATAGTATTTGTGGCCTCCCCACTATGCAATATCAAAATTATACTTTTACTTTTTCCTACTTTCCCTTCACCATGCAGTTTTAGTTTATATTATTTTTTCTAGTGCTTATGTTTTATACCTTTAAAGTATACTTATATCTCTAACATTTGATCTTTCCGCTTTCAAAAAAATTTTTTTTTTACTTTCATCTATTTTCATCCATTTACTTCCCTTTCTCTTTCAACCCATTTAATAGTTTATAACATTTACATTCCATCCTGTAACTATAATCCCCACAATTGTTTTAAATGTATTCCCAGAGCTGAGTGAATTTATCACTCCTTGCCAGTATCTTTGGTATAGTTTCTCCATTCATTTCTTAGTTACTTATATTTCATCCTTTAATAGTTTCCTCAGGAAGGATGAATAGAAATTATTCCCTGAGTTATTGCATTAAAAAATTATATCTGTTGGGCCGGCCCTGTGGCTTGGTGGTTAAGTGCGCGCGCTGCAATGCTGGTGGCCCGGGTTCGGATCCCGGGTGCGCATCGAGGCACCGCTTCTCCGTCCATCCTGAGGCCGAGTCCCACATACAGCAACTAGAAGGATGTGCAGCTGTGACATACAACTATCTACTGGGGCTTTGGGGGGAAGAAAAAAAAAAATTATATCTGTTGCATTGATTTTGAACGGTAGTTTAGCTGGGTATAAAATTGTTTGCGCTTTCATTTCTAAAGTCTTTATAGGCATTGCTCATCTGACTTCTATGTTGAATGTTGGTATGTGGAAGTTTGAAGTCAGCCAGATTCTTTTTAACCTTATAGGTGAATTGATCTTTTTTGACTAGATGCCAAAAGGATTTTTTTATCTTCAGAGTTCACTAACTTTACTAGGATGTGTACACATGGTTGAATTCTTACAATCTATAGATTTAAATATTTTATTTCTGAAAATTTTTCTTGAATTACATCTCAAATTTTTTTCTGTTCTGTTTTTTTTTTTTTTTTGGTTCTCTTATTGACAACAATTATCTGTATGTTGGATCTACTTTGTCTTCTATATTTATTATTTTCTAATTCTTATAAACTCTTGTTGATTTCTACTTAATTTTGCCCATTTTCTCAACGTTGTCCTCTAAGCTTCTTACTGGGTTGTTAGTGGTGTCTATTCTCCCTTGGGCTGTTTCCAGCTTTCTTTGATGGAATGGTTTTAGAAAGCCTGTACTTTTAGCTAGTTTAAGGCCTTTATTTATTTATTTTTTTTGTGAGGATGATTAGCCCTGAGCTAACATCCACACCAATCCTCCTCTTTTTTTGCTGAGGAAGACTGGCCCTGGGCTAACATCCATGCCCATCTTCCTCCACTTTATATGGGACACTGCCACAGCATGGCTTGACAAGTGGTGCATTGGTGTGCACCCGGGATCTGAACCCGGGCCACCAGCAGCAGAGCGTGTGCACTTAACCACTACGCCACGGGGCTCGCCCCTTAAGGCGTTTAGATTCCAGCTGCCATCGTGGTAACAAGTAGGTAGGGCTGCAAAAAGAATCTTTGAAAGAAGAGAGAAATGCTTTTCACCATCTGCCAAATTTGCTGTTTAGTCATATTTCTTCTTTTTTATATTCCAGATAATCAAAATTCCCCTTTGAAGTTTTTCTTTTTTCCTCTCCTATCCACTCATTTAACTTCCTTGCAGAAAGTCTTTTGCTTTAATTTGAATGTGTATTGTTATGGATATTTTTAATTTGTGGATTTAAAAATAAATATTTTGGGGATTATTTGGCTCTGCTATATGGAAAAAGGATTATGGAATTGTTGCTTTGCTCCTAGAGAAGATTGAATATTCTTTTCCTAAGGAAGAATTAGGAGTAAATCCTATGTAAGTGGTTTTCAGACTTTGTGATATTTTATTAAATGCAAATATTAGGTGACAGTTGAAGAGAAATATATAAAGCTTAGGAAAATACAGATTTGGAGGGTCTTTGGATGTGTTCTTTTTTTTCATGTTCTATGTAGATATGATAGATGCTTTTTCTTTGATCAATATACCTCTTAGGATGTGGGTATTCTCTTTTAAGTCTCATCTGTGATGGAATAGATTTTGCTACTATGCTGATAGAATGCTAGTAGTCAGAGATTTGAGGAGCACTTCTACACATGTTCAAATCGTCCACTTGATCCATTTGGCTCTTTGGAAATGGTAAGGGGTTGTAAACATCACTTTAAACCTTTTAGGATAATATGGTTCAAAGAAATTGTGGCCACAAGGCTTAAGAACTTGGGCCGTAACTGACTGTGCCCACCTAATTTCTTGTCATTAAGCTGTTTTCTCCAGTGTGCATCAGGGTGTTACCCGACAGCATATTATCTGTTTGTTTGATATATGTGTGTGAGTCTCTATTCATGGCACATGGGAAAAGGAAAAGGCCATTCTTCTGGAAGACAGCAACCGGAATCTTAGATTCTTGAGGTTATGGGAGGGCTTTTCACCTTTTGTTAGGTTTTGTAAGGTTTATCCAGAAGCAGTAGTGATGGCAGGATATGCCATTACTGATCTCTGACTTTGTGCCAAGTGCTGTGCTTAGTGCTTTTTTTGTTTTTTGTTTTTGTAAGGAAGATTAGCCCTGAGCTAACATCTATTGCCGATCCTCCTCTTTTTGCTGAGGAAGATTGGCTGTGGGGCTAACATCCGTGCCCATCTTCCTCTACTTTATATGGGATGCTGCCACAGCATGGCTTGACGAGTGGTGTGCCAGTCCGCACCCAGGATCTGAACCCATGAACCCTGGGCTCAGAGCGTGCGAACTTAACCGCTATGCCACCAGGCCGGCCCCATGTGCTCAGTGCTTTTATATCCTCTATCTCATTTTTGTTTTAGAATGATTACATGAGCTCTTTATTATTATCCCCATTTTACTGATAAGAAAACTGAGGCTCGGAGTTAAATCACATGACAGTTAACTGGTAGAGTTGAGATTTGAGTCCAGGCCTCAAAAGCCCATGCCCTTGATGACTGTATTACTATCTCTCAGGGGTGATGATTAGTCTTGTAACTCTTCTACAGGTAAACAAGAATAGGGCATCATAGGCAAATAGAGTAAAAATTCTCATTAGAAATCATTTAATACAGGTTAACTCTGTGTTTGAATAATTAAAACAGACTCTCACATTTAACTTGTCCCTTCCCCTCACATAATCTAGAGAATCAGATTATGAAATACAAAGGGTAGGGGAGTGAATATTGTTTTCCCACTGATAATTCCATACATGATTAAATGGATTTTGCTTGAACTTCCTTCTTTTCCTAACTGGGAAAAGCTTCAGGCCTTAAACGTCAAAATGGAAATCTTTATCCTGAATAAAATTGGTTCTGAGATAGGAACCATTATGAATGACATAAGGTTGTTTAACATGGCATCTTCTGTATTTCTCACTGTTAACTTGGAAATGCGCTCGTATGCCATTTAGTGATCCAAAAAGTATAGTGCAACTAACGTCAGATTGGTCTTTCTGGATAGGGGTAATGAAGTTAAATCTTCATTTACATGCTGAAATGGGTACTGCCCTGTGAATTCCACTGTAACTTTGTAATTAATGTACCATTACCTTAGAGTTTTACCAAATATTTCTGCTTTCTGGACATGATAGAGACAGACTCTCCTATTGTTTGCAATTACCCTCATAAAAATTTGAAAGCAAGCAAAAAAAAATGCTTTTTCTCTCTCAGGACAAGTTTGCCTTCTGCTTAACAAAATTAGGTTTTCCTTTCCCTGTGGTGTGAAGATAGAGCCCTGCAGGCCCACCATCAGTCCTGTGGCTGGGTCTGCAGCCCTCTGCCCTGTGGCGGGACGCTTTCTCCTTGGAATGACACTGCTGGGCAGTAGCAAGAAAATCCCGAGCAGGCGAGCCAGTCTTTCCTGTTTCACTCTAGATGTCAATGAAATAGTCTTTCATCCCCTCCTGTCCTGCCTGGGAGATGAGATGGGGAAGGTGTTCATTTCTGCCAGTTGTTTTGCTTAAGACACACTCAGAAGACATTTTTCCATAGTCTCGTGGTTGATGCCTTAGTTAGCAACCCAATCACTAAAAACAAAAGGAGCAGCGCTACAAGAAAAGTGGCTCCTAAGATCTGGAGCCAGGTAGTGAGACCCAGGGCACTGGGTTGAAGGGAAATTATTCCCGGGCTATTTTGGAGAGTCTCGTCCTGAGGACAATTAAGGAGTCCAGACAGGTCACTGGGTGAGACCAATTTCCTGGTTTGTTTATTTGAGCCTGATTGTTTTTCACCATCGAGGAGCAGGTCACAGTCCTGCTACGCTATTACCCCAGCTCTGCAGAGAGCAATCCCATTCGTATTTGGTTTCTCCAGGCTTCCCTAAGGATCCTCGCCCAGTCTTTCTCTGTTTGGATTGCTCTGTCTCTCGCAGGTCCAGGGCAGAGGGCAGTGTCAGTAATCACTTTCGACTTCATCTCATACAGGCATTTGGCTTTATGTCCCGAGTTGCCCTACAAGCAGAGAAGATGAATCATCACCCCGAATGGTTCAATGTGTACAACAAGGTAATAAATTGTCTTATTTTGGGATCATCTTAATTATGGAGTTTAAGAAACGTCTTTTTTCCTTTCTTCTTTGTCATCCTGTGCAGCTAAGTGTCATTGTGCTTAGGAAAGTATTCTCTGATATTTTCTCTCAGAATCCCTGTGTATTACTGCAAATTAGTAACAAATTTTCAGATCTGCTCAAGAGAACAGTGACCAAGTTCTTTCCTTTCATGCTTGTCTTCTGCTGAAACGAATATGAGAAATTTGGGCCTAATTAGCCTCCTGAATTAAACTTGAATATCAGCCATGCAGATAAGTTTTTAAGCTCTCTTCAGGTAAATTATTGAAAGAAATGGTAACAAATAAGAAAGATATGGCCTTATTTATCGCATTGAAATAAATTTGCTCAAGAACTGTGCTTTAAATAATAACTATTCAATTCTGTATCCTCAGTGGGAACTGACCTTCTTCTTTAAGACAAAGAGCAGACTAAAAAGACTTCATCAAGTAGTTTTAATGGGGCACAGTGAGAGGAATCATGCCCTCCCCAAAAAGTGTCCTTGCCTTTCTAGTCATGCCATTTGGAATGTCTTATCATCTAGTTTTCTGTGGGGTTTTGTTTTCTCTTTGAAAGTCTTCTTTGAAAGAAGAAAATCGCATGATATTCTTGTCATTTATTGGAATAATTCAGAGCATGCAGGTACCAGGTTAAACGTTTTTTTTCCTAGTTGCCTCTCTTTGCCTATAATTTTGCTTTTGCTTTTTAATCGATTTGTCAAGAAGCAACAACAGTCTGTTACTCCGCCCTACCCCCACCCCACTTCCCTCATTTGGAAATGGGCTTTTTTAACATGGTTGCTAAGATATTACATTTGATAGCTTAGTTTTTCTCAGTGGCCTGAAAATAGTCAGTGTAATTAAAGTAATGGGAGTTAAGTTGGAACCTCTGTCTCTCTCTCTCTCTTTTTTTTTTTTTCAAGAGACAAGGTTTGAGATTCTGGCAGCTGAATTGCCCTTCGTATGAGAGAACCCTTTTATCCCTGGGCGACTGCTGGGCCCAGCCTGAAGCAGACTTTGCCCCTGGAGTTTATTGGGTTTGGGAAATGCTGTGCTTACTCCTAATGTAGTATTTTCTAAATCATTTAATCTCCCCAGTTCTCAAATATGAATGTTGAATAATAGATTTATTTCTGAACCACCAAAGGAGAATACCATGAATTATAGCTCAGGGTTTTAAAAACTTCTTCTCTCTTTCTTAGGTCCAGATAACTCTCACCTCGCATGACTGTGGTGGACTGACCAAAAGAGATGTGAAACTGGCCAAGTTTATTGAAAAAGCAGCTGCTTCTGTGTGATTTCTTCCAAAATGCATGTAAATCTTATATACATCTTAGCTGCAATGTATTTTGAAGGCAATTTACATGAACAAATTAAGTTGTAAATTTAGTTCACCTTTGAACTCCTTTATAAAATCTGTGCTTAAATACAAAATGATTTAAACTTGAGCCTGAGGTATTTTTCATTGTATCTAATCACATACATAAGGTAAACCAACCTAGGTAATTATATTAATAGTATTTGGAAAGAGAAATAGCATTCTTAAAAACCAGAAATTGGGATGGAGGAGTATTCACACATTTTATAACCTAGAAATTCGAGTGATTATGGTGACTTTACAAACGCATTGTGTTGGAGAATAGTTATAAGGTAGAAAAAGAATGATGAACTCGGTGGGTAGAGGGTCTTAACCATGTATAACATATATCCGTATATTCTTATGAAGGTAAAGTTGATTTGGATTTTAGCTGCTGTTATTACTTAAGCAGTTAATTAGATTACAAAGGTCACAAAACTTGGATGAGCTATCTTGCGTTTTATCCTTACTTTTCAGACAGGGAATTGAAGGAGAGGACAAGTGTCTTGTCTATGGCTTCCAGCAAGGTGGGGCAGTATAAGGATTCACTGTCACAGTCACCAACTTGCCAGGTCATCATTTGACTTACTGAGTTGAGGAGGAACCAAGGGTTCTTTTTTTTCATCATTTGCATGTTGTGACCCCTGAACTGAGAGTCTCTAGCCACTGAGCTAGAGGCTACTTGGGTATTATCCAGTAATGAGCTCTATTTACTTCGTGTGTCACTGACAGGGGTAAAATGAAATATAAAGGAGTCTATTATTTAAAAATTGCAATATCAATGTTCTTTGAAGGAACTCAGGAATGTACTTATTAATGAGATTAGAATGTAGATTAAAAGAACGTCTGTATATCCATCCAAGGAACATGTGTTAATCCCTTGAAGCATTGCTGTGGAAGGATTTAACAGGATCATCTTTGTAACCCACTTTACTTCAGAGGCAAGAAAGATCACTCTATGTTACAACAAGCAAACCTTTCCCTCCTCACCCCAGCCTGGCTCCGCCCGCAGTCTGAGCGCTCTGAAGCCAGTTCTTGGCTGGTTCTGTTGGCCTGGGAGAGGCAGGTATGGTCAGTTTGCCCTGTGGGTATGGAGTGTGCAGGGAGGGAAGAGAGAGAAGAGCCACCCAAGCTCTGATGGCTGCAGAGAGATCCAAAGCCCGGTGACACTAGAACTTTTGCTTCTTAGAATTTTTTTAGAGAAAAAGGCAAAGTTATGTGTTTTTATAAACTTTTTCTTATATTATAGATTTCGAAACTTTTATACATTTTGTTACCAAAGATTTTTAGTTCAGTGCTTCAACTTTTCTTACATGAATTTTTTTTTTTATAATTTTATTTATTTATTTAGTTTTTTCCCCCAAAGCCGCAGTAGATAGTTGCATGTCATAGCTGCACATCCTTCCAGCTGCTGTATGTGGGACATGGCCTCAGCCTGGCCGGAGAAGCGGTGCGTCGGTGCGCGCCTGGGATCCGAACCCGGGCCACCAGCAGCGGAGCGCACGCACCTAACCGCCAAGCCATGGGGCCGGCCCTCTTACATGAATTTTTAAATATGAAAAAATTTAAACATTAAAAAATAGAATGAATGGTACATTGAACCCTTGTGTACTGATCACCCAGATTTAACAATTACCAAGATTTTGCCTCAGTTACTTTATGTAATCCCGTTTCCTTTTTTTTTTGGCTAAAGTATTTAAGAGAAAATTCAAGATAGCATGTCATTTTAGCCCTATATCCTTTGGTAAACATCTCTAGAAAATATGGTCATTTTCTTTCTTTTTTTTTTTTCTGAGGAGATCAGCCCTGTGCTAACATCTGCCAATCCTCCTCTTTTTTTGCTGAGGAAGACTGGCCCTGGGCTAACATCCATGCCCATCTTCCTCCACTTTATATGGGATGCCGCCACAGCATGGCTTGCCAAGCGGTGCCTCGGTGTGTGCCTGGGATCCGAACCGGCGAACCCCGGGCCGCTGCAGCGGAACGCGTGCGCACTTAACCACTTGCACCACCGGGCTAGCCCTGGTCATTTTCTTGTATAAACCAGAATACCATTATCACACCTAACAAAATAAACCATGATTCCTTGGTATCACCTAATACTCGGGCAAAATCAGATTGCCCTGAAGGTCAAGAATGTCTCTGGACAGTAATTTTGTTCTAATCAGCATCTACATGAAGTCCACCCATCACATCTGGTTGCCATGTCTCTTTAATCTTTCAATCTAGAGCAAGCAAGCTCCCCTCACCTCCCCCCTTTTCCCCATGTCATTGAATTATTGTAATAACTGGGTCAAGTGTCCTGTAGAGTATTCCACCTTCAGGATCTGTTTGTTTGCTCCCTTGTGGTGTCATTTAACTTGTTTCACTGTATCTTGAATGGAACCTTTCCCCCTACTTTGAATGTAAGTCTGAGAGGCTAAACTTGTTGGCTGTTCACATATACCACATGTAGCACAGAGGAGAAAGCAGAACATGGCTTGTAATTGCAGTGGTGAAGACCTGAGAATGCCGCTACTAATTAGCATCTACATGAGGGTTTGACGTAAGGTCCATGTGAAGGGGTGTTGCATCTGCTGGAACTCACAGACTTTACTATAGAGAATCAGAGATCCCATATCAGAAGTCTATGGAAGTACTCATTGTGGTAAATTCCAACAGAATGAATTCCCAAACTTGTTTCAAGCAACTGACATTTCAACTTAAAAGAGGCATTGTCAAAGTTGGAGGCCTCCAAATTCCCTGCTGTTCTAAATCTTTGCGTGATGAAAGTGGTTGCTCTGATGTGGTAAGCTTCGGTTTCCCTCCATTTTCTTTCTAAGTGGTCACTGGAGTAGAGAGGAGTTAAATGTACATGACCTATGACCCCTTGCATGATGTCTGTAGATAACAAACCAGGGCCACACATTTCAGTGTCTTTTTCTAAAATGAAGTTGATGAAAGTTCTGAAAATGATGGTTACTTTCTGACATTGATAGGATTTAGGAAATATTTAGATAAATAGAATAAGCATGGTTCTTTAAGTTTTTGCTCTAGACAAAAAGCAGCAGCATATATGTTGTATTTGGACACGAACCTGACCTCCATTAGTGTATGAAGTATTGGACTACTTGTGTTAGTATGGAGCAGTCTATATACTTTCTAATCCAGCATTCAAAAAGTACTAGTTGAACTCTATAACTTTCAGTTTTGTAAAATTTCCTGCAAAAAAGCAAGAGCTGTAATAGGGTTTGGCTATAATATATGAGTTTTGTGTTTCAGTGCCAGTTACTTGGGACTAGTAAGGGAATGACACTTGGCCAGAAGACCTGAGCCACCAAGCTGCCGTGCTGCTGACTGCTGACTTTCCCTGGCTGTGTGCGGCTGAGGTAGTGCTGCCCAAGTTGGGCAGTGTGAGTTGCGGCTGAAAGGGCAGAAGAGGTGGCGCTTTGGCTTCTCATCCCAGGATGCCTGTCCTGCCCACCTGTCCATGAGAAGATATGGATGATTTCAGTAGGTCCTGGATAAGCTCGTCACCTCTGATTCCACTCACCAGATGGACTTCCATTCCCAGTCTAGATGTCTTCATCAGTGACTTCAGAAACCACATTACCTGTGGTTGGCTGTGCTGATATAGTACACTAAGAACAACTGGGCTCTTCTCTGCTGCTTCCAACTGGCCATCTTTCCTCATCCCTTATGCATCAGGAAAGGATTCTTTGCATTCTTAATCTCCTCTCCATTTCTCCCCGAAAGCATACTTTGGTGCTTAAAAAGGGAAGGCATAGATGTGTACTGCTTGGTTTCCTGGAGGTGGAATCCCACTATGCTTGCTACTTGAGTGAGCATAAGGATCCCTAATGCCATTCATTTATATATTCATATAGCACTTCTATATGCCCCAACGGGATTAGGCACATTGGTCTATTGGGGCAGGTGGAAACAGAGATGTAGAACTGATTCAGACTCTCTCTGAGCAGCTCCTCCAGGAGGCCACTGTGGAGATGTTGGGCGGGAGCTCAGAAGGCATTGGGGGGCATATGACCAGAGGAGGCAGTAGGAGGTATAGGAGAGGCTGATCCCTGAAGGGGAGAATGTAGAGTGAGAAGATGAGGCTAAAGTTTGAATCTTGGGGACATTAATCAAAGTGATGCTTAAAGCTTTGCTGTTGATGATTTTAAATGGAGAAATTGAGTAAATAAGATATTTCCCGGGTCGGTATATTGGTTGCCTAAAGAGTATTTTCTCACCAGGAATGGTCATATACACTTGTTTTAGAATACCAGGGACTGCGGAGGTGGTGGGATGGTTACCTCTTTTTCTTAGGGCCTAAGAACTTAAGTTTCCAGGAATTGGACCAATTTAGCTACTAAACGAAATTCAACACGGGGCTACCCAGATCCTTCTGTTTTGATTTGCCTTGAAAGCTAAAGAGTTTAGGAAAAGGAGAGTGAGGAGACTATATTAATCCCAGGAATTGAACAGAGCAAAAATCTCTGTTGCTCTTGTACTTAAAACATCTCTACCACATGGGCTTATCCTTTACACTCTATTTAGGGGTTCATATGTGCAAACATTCCCTGCCCCCAGTTAGCCAGTGCTGGGGTGGGTAACCTTCTCTGCTCCTCCTGTTTCTTGTATTCTAGCACCACACTCATCAAAATCATTCCTTGTTGGGGGCTGGCCCAGTGGCGCAGTGGTTAAGTTCGCGTGCTCCACTCCCGTGGCCCGGGGTTTGCAGGTTCCGATCCTGGGTGTAGGTGTGTGCACCACTTATCAAACCATACTGTGGCGGCGTCCCATATAAAGTAGAGGAATATGAGCACGGATGTTAGCCCAAGGCCAGTCTTCCTCAGCAAAAAAAAGAGGATAATTAGCAACAGATGTTAGCTCAGGGCTGATCTGCCTCCCCCCCCCCC